GGGGGAGCCAATCCTTGCCTGAATCTTTACAGCGCAAACCACGACGTAAAGATCACTTCCTAGCGAAAATTCCAACGAGCGCCTTTTCGGCGTCGAGGTCTTTTCGCACTCTCTTTTCGTTCCGATCTGCCGCCATTACAATACGTTCTTTCTGAAGCAGATGCCAAAGAAGAAACGTACGCGCGGCAAGCGAGGGGGTTGGCGTACCCACCTTAAGGAGTTACAAAGGGAGCTCCTTAACGCGGGAAGCTTTGACCCTTCCATTTATTGGAGGGAGGACGCGGCGAACGCTACCAAACCTCCGAAACTCGACACAACCGTCGATATCGCCGATCCAACAGCCGCAACATCTAAAGCCTCCACCTCGGAAATCGTGGCTACAGTTGCACCACCGTCGCGACCAAAACCGCCTCCATCTCCGCCCCACGTGGCGCCCATTCGAAAGCCTACTAGGCCCATCATAATTACGCCTAAGCCGCGAATCATTAGTAATAACCCGTGTACTGTAAATATTAAAATCTTAGAATCGTAAATATTTCTTTTCTTATTAAAAGCCTTTTCATTTCCTTCCACATCCTTCTCATCACACAAGAGAGTGTAGATTAGAGAGACAGCGAGATGAAGCATAACTGACGCTTCCTCTAAACTCTCTATTTTATTTTTATGAGAAAGGACCTGGAAGGCTAGTTACCTTTAAATTCAAGTATTTTCGTAGAAACATACATATAACTCTCGACAATCGTGCTCGATTCCGAGCACTGGTGACAGCTGCCCGTAATAATAATAAAGACACGCGTCTAAACAGCACAACGAAGCCAAGGCTTCACCCCGCGCGTCCCGCTCCGCGCTCGCGTTCCCTCGAACACGTGTCGCGTCTCGAGATCGCCGAAAACTCGCGCTCAGGACGTAACAAAACAATTTTTTTTTCAATTAGTTTGGACCGGACGATGTGTCTCTTATAGATTTTTAAATGCTGAAAACGATGCCGCAAATGGAAAATTCTAGCACGTCAGATTTCCAAGATAATTGAGATTTAATACTTAAAAAATAGCTTCTTTGCGATATTTGATATGACATTTTTTAATAAAGAAAGTCAACGTTATCTTGAAATTTCGATTAGGAGTCATGAATGTATTGTGCATCTTCTATAAAATGCATTTTTTTTATTTCAATACTTTACTTTTTAGCCATGTTATAAACGATTAAAAATAACAGCTATTTCGAATATGAGGACCGCGGCAGCATCATATGCGCATGCGGTAACGCTAAAATCATTTTAAAACAACAACGTGCACACACACACACGCACGCACGCACGCACGCACGCACGCAGAGAGAGAGAGAGAGAGAGAGAGAGAGAGAGAGAGAGAGAGAGAGAGAGAGAGAGAGAGAAAAACACAAACAGAGAGAAAAATCAAAAATAAGAGGAAGAGAGAAAGAGAGCAGAGAGAGAGTTATTGGAATGGAGAAAGGGGGATGGCAATGAGAGGATAAAGGAAATGGGAGAGAGAATAAGGGAGATATTGGGAAGCATAGAAAAGGAGAGAGGGAAAGAAAGGAAGGGAAGGGGATGGTGGGATGGAGAGTGTAAAGAAAAGAAGGTCGAGGTGAGAAGGGTATTAAGGGAATGGAGGAAAGGTAAGGGGGGAGGGGAGGAATACAGGAAACAAAAAAGGGAGTATAAGGAGCTATGTGGGAACAAGAAAAAAGAGGAGAATGAGAGGTGGGAAAGAAAAGTAGAGGATGCGAAGAATAAGGGACAAGTATGGGAAATAGTAAACAGGGAAAGGAAGAAGTGGAAGGGAGTAAATAAGGGGATAGAGATGAGAGAGGGAGTGGGAGGAATATTTTAAAGATTTATTGGGAGGGATGGAAGGGAAAGTGATAAGGGAAAAGGAGGAGGCGAAGGACAGAAATGGATTTGAGTAGGGAGGAAATTAGAAGAGTGATTAGGAATTTAAAGGAAGGCAATGGGGGTGGATGGGATTCCAAACGAGGTATGGAAGTTGGGGGTTAGGGTATGGAGGGAATGTAATGAGGTATGGAAAGGGGAAGGATGGCCGGAGGAATGGAAGGAGGGAGTGGTGGTGCCGGTAAGGAAGAAAGGGCAGGGAGAGGAGATAAAGGACTATAGGGGGGTGTCGATAATGCCGACTATGTACAAAGTATATACGGCGGCATTGTCGGAAAAGTTAAGAGAGGAGGTGGAAAGGAAGAGGTTGATTCCACCGAATCAAACGGGCTTCAGAAAGGGGATGGGGACTCTGGATAATGTATTTGTATTGAATTACCTAATAAACAAACAGGTAAGGAAAAAAGAGAGAAAATTGGTGGCCTTATTTGTGGACTTGAAAGCGGCGTTTGATTCGGTGGATAGGGGAGTATTGGTGAAGGCGTTAAGAGTGAGGGGGGTAAGGGAAGGGTTGATGGAAAGGGTAGATGAGATATTAAGGGAAACGAAGAGTAGGGTGAGAGTGGGAGGGAAGGAATTAGGAGAAAGTTTTTGGACGGCGAGGGGGGTATCCACTGAGTTCCCTGTTGTTTAATTTATTGATGGCGGACCTAGAAGAAGAGATGGGAAAGGTTAAATGGGTGGAGTGAAGTTAGGGGATAGAAAGATATATAGTTTGGCGTATGCGGATGATGTGGTGTTGCTGGCGGAAGATGAGGGGAGCATGAGGAGTCTGTTGGAAAGGTTGGAAGGGTATATAGAAAGGAAAGGTTTGTAATTGAATAGGGAAAAAACTAAAATAATGAGATTTAGGAAGGGAGAAGGCAGGAGCAATAAGATGGACTGGAGATGGAAGGGAAAGAGGATCGAAGAGGTAAAGAGATTCAAATATTTAGGATATACGTTGCAGAGGAATGAGGGACAGGAAGAGCATATAAAGGAAAGGGTGGCGAAGGCGGCAGCAGTGATGGGACAGTTATGAGGGATCGGGAAAAGGAAATTTGGTAAGGATTTGTTATGCTCAGCCCGCTTGTTCGCTCTCGCGACCTTAACGCGCACTCCCGAGCCGCGGAAATAAAGGAACTCAAGGATGAAAAGAAGATAATTCGTCTTTTATTGGAACCGACTATACAGCGCGTGGCAAACAGCTCAAGACTTCGTGAATGCAATATATAAGAATCGGCGGAGAAGCACGTCCGAACGTATCGGCAGCTCTCCAAAGATCTGCCGGTTATCAATCATCAACAACGGCGCGTCGCCCCTGGCTAGGTGACACCACGGGTGCCGGAACAACACGGCATGCGACGGAGCACGGGCATAACATTGCCCTCCTTCTGAAAAACAATTGTCGTCCCAACAATTACTTTGCTTCAAGATTCGCGAAGGTTCTTCCCCGAAGAATTCTGGCTCCCGACTAACTTCTTGCTCCCTTACTGCGCTGCTGCAACAGTTTTTTTAGAGCTTAGTCTCGTTGGGACCCATTTTTCAGGCTGAGGCTTCCTTCTCCTTCTGGGCAAGACCCCTTTTCAGTTCCCCCTTAGAAGATGGGCAATCTTCCAGAGGAACACGTTCCGAGCATCCCTCCAACTTCATGAAGGAGGTATATTTCTTCTTGCCTCTTCTCTTGAGTCTTGCGTTCTTGTTTCTTCGCTTTTCGAACTGGGAGGGGAATAACAGGATTTTTTTTTAAGAAGCTGCAGTATCTTTATCCCCGGTCCTCGCCTCAGCATTTGCCCATCGTCCCGCGGAAAAACCCCACAGCTCAAAAACCGTGGGCGAGGCGGTCTTCTTTAAAAAAAATGGAAATCCAATTGATGAAGTTCATTCAATCCTAATTCCTCTTTTCGAGCACTCTACTTTTGCAGCTCTTCCCTGAAGATCATCGAGACAGCCTCCGATCGTCCCTGCAGCAACAAAATTCTACCAACTCCCTTTGCCGTGTCGCACATCCTTTTAGATTCTGAAACTGAACAAAATTAACAACGCGCAGCTTTGTTTGTTATTTATACTTAGCATTGCTAGAGCTCTGATTTACCGTATAGTATTTTATTTATTCTATTTTATACATTGCCTTTCCACATAAGGTGCTAGCCTATCCGTGTGCACGATTTTATTTCCCCCCTTGTTCGACCTGCGAATACAGTACACGACGTCACTGAGTTTTCTCACTATGAAATAAGGGCCTTCCCAACTGCTTTGCAATTTAAGGACTTTTCCTTTCATTCTTCGAGGATTGTATAACCATACTTTCTGATCTATTTCAAAATGGATTTGTCTAGCTTTTTGATCGTACCATGTTTTAGTACGAGAAGATTTGATATTAACACGTTTTCTAACTTGATCATGAATCTCCTGTAATTTCTTTTTAATTTTATCTAAATAATCGTCTACTACTTGCCCTTTTCTAATTTCGGGAGGACTTCCTCGAAGCAAATCTACCGGAAGCCTGAGATCCTGAGCGAAATATAATTCTGCCGGGGTCACACCCGTAGTCTCATGTTTAGACGATCTATATGCCAATAAGTACATTGGAATCCAACGATCCCAATCCCTTTGATTTTTTGCAATAAATTTCGCCAAATAATTTAGGATCGTCTGATGTTGTCGTTCTACTTGACCATCCGACTGAGGATGAAGAGCGGACGTTCTAGTCTCTTTAATTCCAAGCAATTGTGATAATTCTCGCAAAATTTTAGATTCAAAACTTCTACCCTGATCTGTATGAATCTCTAAAGGCACCCCATGTCTTGAGATAACTTGATTCAAAAAGATTTCTGTAATAGTTTTTGCTCTGATATTTCTTAAGGGGAAAGCTTCTATCCATTTAGTAAAGCAAAAAATCCACCACAACTAACAAATATTTATTTCCTGAAACAGTTGTTGGAAGTGGACCAAGCACATCCATCTGAACCCTTTCAAATGGAGCCCCAACGTTGTATATTTGTAAAAGAGATTTCCCCTTTCCCAAGGGACCTCTTTCAGCAACACAAATTTTACACGATCTACACTAATTCTCGACATCTTGTCTACAAGATGCCCAATAAAATCTCTTACGTATTCTTTCTAAAGTTTTATTAATCCCAAAATGTCCTCCTGACGGAGAATCATGAATTTGTTCTAAAACCCATTGAATTCGCTCCTTCTTAGGGACAACCAATTGGATAATAGAACTCTTCAAATTTGGTGCCTCCCACCTTTTGTAGAGTACATTTCTAACTTCTAATGAATCCCAATAAGACCAATAAAAAAACTTTGCAGAAGTCTCCTTAGACGCAATTTCCTGCCAAGATGAATGGACCCCACTTTCTTTCCCTTGGAGAACAACCGAAATACCGGAATCTTCTAATTGTTCTTGACGCCAGATTTCTAGATTTTCCTCAGCTAACACTATCCGAACAACGGAGCATCCCTGCTTTTCAGTCTCTTTAATTTCAACCCTTGCAAAATACCGACACTCGGTGTTTGCACAAGGTCGTCTGAACAATCCATCTGCATTCTTATGAAGAACTCCCTTTCGGTAAACAATTTCAAAATTGTATTGTTGTAGCCTCTCAGACCAGCGTGCCAATTGACCTTCTAAATCTTTAAAGGACATTAACCATTTAAGTGGCGCATGATCTGTTCGACTACAAACTTTCGCCCATATAGATAATGGTGAAATGACTTAACTGCCTCAACAATGGCTAGAAGTTCACGTCGAGTTACGCAGTAATTCCTTTCGGCTTTATTTAAAACGCGACTATAATATGAGATGACTTTTCCTTCCCCGTTTTGTTGTTGCGACAATACTGCTCCGATCCCGCAATTTGACGCGTCGGTATCAAGAATAAATTTTCCTCTCTCTTGTGGGAAGGCTAAAATTGAAGAAGAAACAAGAACTTGGCGCAATTTATTAAATGAATCTTCACACCGATTATCCCAATTGAATTTTGTCTGGCTCTCTGTGAGTGTATAAAGCGGTTTTGCGAGCGTAGAAAATCCCTTCACAAATTTCCGATAATAAGAACATAAACCTAAAAAGCTTCGTATTTGCTTTTTATTTTGAGGAACTGGCCAGTTGGATATAGCTTGGATATAGTCCAGTTGGATATAGCAATTTTTTCGTTATCCAGTGAAATTCCCAAAGCCGAAATTACGTGCCCTAAATATTTCACTTCTTGTCCAAAAAGAACAAACTTTTTGGGATTGATTTTTAAATTTACTTCTCGCATTCGAGAAAAGACTTTCCTCAAATTATCAATCATTCCTTCAAAACGTTTACTAAAAATAATAACATCATCGAGATAAATTAAACAAATTTTTGTAAGAAATTCCCGAAGAATTTGCTCCATGACTCGTTCAAATGTGGCAGGAGCGTTACAAACCAAAAGGCATTACTTTAAACTGCCATAACTCGTTTCCGATAGAAAATGCTGTTTTTTCTCTATCCTCCAATCGGATTTTTATCTGCCAATATCCATTTTTTAAGTCTAGCGTAGAATACCAAGAGTTATCTGATAACTGGTCGAAGATGTCGTCCACCCTTGGCAAGGGATAGGAATCTTTTTTAGTAACATCATTTAGCTTACGATAATCGACACAAAATCTTATGGTTCCATCCTTTTTTTTAACTAAAATCGCAGGCGACATCCAAGAACTTTCGGATTTCTCGATTATTCTTTGATCCAACGTGTCTTCAATAATCTTATTAACTTCCTCCCTCATATGAAACGGAATTCGACGAGGAACCTGTTTGATGGGACGAGAATCTTTCAAATTAACAACGTGTTCACCAACTTTACAATTTCCTACAACGATTTGTTCGGAAAATACGTCACTGAATTCATTCAGAAGTTTTGCGAAAAGTTTCTTTTATGAGTGAATAAAATATTTGGAATCCTTTTAGAAAAGACTTTTTACATTTGTAGGAACATTGACATCTGAAAACTCTCTTACACGGAAACATTGAATATCCTTCTCTTTTTCTTTTTGATCCCGGAAAATATAGGTTCAAAAATATTTTCTAAATTAAGTTTCTCAAGGAAATCCACTCCAAGAATACAATCATCATTAATTTCCGTCACTAACATTGAAATTTCAACAGAATGATTCCCAAGTCGAACTTTCGTGAGTATTTTCACAGAGGAGATATTATTAAAGACCGTTAACCCTAGGCAAATTTTCGGCGGTATAAAAAGAGCCCCAAGGACCCGGAGGTAATTCAAGGACGCTGACATTACTGACAATTGATATAAATTTGCTATTATTAGCAAATATCAATTTGAAAGAAAAATCGAGTATTATTGAGTTATAAATGCATAAATACATCAACTAAACTAATAAATCATAAAATTACGGAAAACTATTTTCCTTTATTAATTTTATTGTTTTAGCCCTTTCTATCGCTTCCCTTAAAGATGTTATTCCTTCTAATTGAAGTGATTTCTTTACAAATCCGTCAGACAGAGTAGAAACGAATTGCGCACATGCAATTTTTCACGTATCAAATCGGGACACTCGGGATAAGCCAATTGTGACAATCTTTCAATGTCGGAACCAAAAAACGCGACACTTTCCCCGAACTTTTGTTTTCGATTTGTAAATTGTGAATACTAG